CTCCTCTCCATACCACAAGCTGAGAAATCAACTATCTTAAGCATACACAAATTGCCTCAGGTTACCAAACAGTAAAACCGACAGTTTGCTTGGTTAATGTGGATAACTAAGTAGCATATATGGCATTATATGCCACCTCATTTAGATGCAGAAACTGAGCAACACCGATCTTGTTAACTATATGGTTTGTCTTTATCTTCTCCAAAGAGAAACTGCAATACTTAAACATGTAACTATGAAATTAGAATAGAACAAGTCATGCTGAATCAAATTTTAAAAGTCATTTTCCCTGACTACATCCAAGAAAGAACTACTCAAGTATTAATGTCAGCATTTCCACAACAGCAGGGATACTTAAGACCAGAGTTGGGTTTATTTGAGTGATTCATCAGGCAAATTTAGAAAAAAGAATGCAATGAGAAGACAAATTACAGCATGATTTAGTGGCTATTAAAGACGATCCAACACTTCTCTAATAGCAAATGTACCAAGAATATCCAAACCTAGACGGACCAGTACCCAAAGCCAGAAACACATTGCCCAGACCTCATAAGTGTCTAACATAAAGATTCAAGACCATAATTGTCAAATCGCGTATCGGAAGGCGTATCGTTTTTCAAAAATAGTGTATCATATTGTATTGTGTACCGTAAGATACATGTAATTTTAAATAATTAATAATATATATATATATATGTTTGTAAAAAAGTCAGACTCATAATAACATAGCATTTTATTAATATTCCACCAACTATTCAAGTTCCCAACATAATTTAGTAATATCAAAATGTAAAAACCTCTAATTCAAATTTCTAACATCAACTGCTTGAACAACCTTAATATTAATCAGAAATTTTGAATTCAGTTGAACAACATTAACGACAGACTTTATTTCTTTTTTTAAACTATAACCACTGAAACAATGTTATTTCACTAGCTAGTGATTTAAAAATAAATTTTAGGGTGAAATAATGTCATTTCACCCCAAAAAAACCAAAAAAAAAAAAATTAAAAAAAAAATACAGAATCTTCACGTATTGTATCGTACTTATCGTATTGTGTATTGTACGATACATATCGCGTATCGTACGATACTAATAACTATGTTCAAGACCCATTCCTGAGAATTATCACTGGTGAATAACTTGGCAAATGTTGATCCAAGCACGTATCATAAAGAGAAGAATACCCCCCCCCCCTTTTTTTCAACTTTGAACATTGTATTTACAACCAAGGGCTTTTTATGGACCAATTCTCCATCACTAGGTCTAATAAGAAACGTACGCCAAAACGCATTAAAACAGTGCTTCACGTATCATGGGGACTCTCGAAACATTAAAACATTTAGCAGATTGAACATAAGGTGAGTCTTAAATACCCAATATCAATTGTACTAGTGAATGTATGAGCTGAGTCGGATTTGGTTTAAGTTTAATTACCCATATAAAACCTCTAAAGATACTCAATCACTGTGTAGGATTATACAGGTAAAAAATATCCATTTCCTCTATCAAGCATCCAATAAGACCAAGGCTTAAACTCGTAACTAGTACCTAAAAGAAAAATTAGTGTGTTTATGCAACACGTAATTTACACATTTGTAGATGATGTATTCCTAGTATAATTGAGAAACATTGATCAAACAAAAGTAGTTGCTAGTTGTAGCCTAGCATTCTCAATTTTAATGCATATGTATTTAAGGAATCACTTTCCTACTGGATTACATATGATAGAGAGATTATGTGATTAACCACTCATGACCCTACGATCCCAATTGTCACCAAGCAGACTGACCCCGAAAGTTCAGTCCCATCCCCAAATCAAAACCCTGCCCACAAATCAAACACCAGAAACTTCCAAAATACAAAAAAATTGAACAGAACAATAACAAATGGGGAAAAAAGAAAAAAAATTAAGAGAAAAACAGTATAATTTCATAGGACACAAAATTGAGTGACGATTAATTCACATACCCAGTTGATCAAACCAAATGCTTTGAATCAATGATTCGGACAGTGCTATCCACTCTCTCTTTCGCAATTGACAGTCGCCTCTCTACCTACATCGAGCGTCATCTATTGATTTTGAATGGATTGGCATGAGTATGAAGGTTTCCCTAGCATAGGTGGGTTGTGATTTTGTCTTGGTTGTTTCCATCTTTGAGAAGAGTTTTGAGGAGAAGTTGTTCTTTTCCTCTCAACCGCTGAATTTTTTTGGTAATTGGTAAGGGATAAAGTGACGTGGCCACAAAAAGCATTTGTTTGGGTTGAAAGTCAAAAATATCTATAAAATAAAGTACAAAGATTGAAGACATAAAAAATGACTTTTATTTTTCACAGTTGAAAACATTTTAAATTTTACTTTAAAGTTAATCCGACGGCTAATATTAACTCCCCAAATTTAATAGGAAAAATAAACTTCTAAGGGTGTTTGGAGTGACTTTTCAAAAGTATTTCTAGAATTTATGAATTTTCATAAGCACTTAAAAAAAAAAGTAGTGTTTAAAATAATATATTTTAATTACTTTCAAATAAGTCAAAAATAGTTTTACCACTTAAATAAGTAAAAAAAAAAAAAAAAACTTCTACTTTTTTAAAATTACTTCTCACTTCATTTCCACCGCCGCTACTGACACCCCACCACCACCACTCCCACTACCCCACCACCACCACCCCCACCGCCACAACCACCACCACTACCACTACCACTACTACCATCGTCGCCGCCCACCACCAAAACCCAACCGTCATAGCCCCACCCACCACTACTACCAACCACCATCACTGTCGCCGATCACCACCACTGTCATCACTCATGACTGCCACTATCACCATCATCACCCAAAATCCATCACCACTATCATCGCCACCTACTACAACCATCACCGTCTCCCACCACCACCATTATCACTGCTTAACCGATGCTTAAATTTATTTTTCTCTTTTTTATGTTTGTGATTTAATTTTGAGTACAAATACAAATATGTTTATGGTTGACAATTTTTTTTATTACTTCATGTCTTTAGACACGAGCAATAACTAGTTTCTCTATATTATATAAATTCAGCAAATTAGCAGTTATCAACTCCAAACCCACTCGGGGAAAAAAGGTCAAAAAAATCCCTTAGGTTATATTACCTAGGCAGACAAGCTTGCACCCTTATAAACGTATCTTCATACAAGCAACCCTATGTATTGTATTAAATTCTGTAAACCCTAGACATACCATTAAAATCTATGTTCTATTCACCATATACCTTTACATTTTTGAATATAATAATTTTTAAAAGAGGATAACTTGCTTTGAATCTCGCAAAATTTTGTAATAAAATACAAACTAAATATTAATTTATTAAGTACCTATTTATAAATAATTAAAATAACAATAAAAAATTTCATAAATATAAAATAAATACTAATTGATTATGTGTGGATAAAGATATAACTTTTTATAATAATGAAATATGTGTGGATAAAGATATAATTTTTTATAATAATGAAAATGATCAAGATAAATCCAAATCGAATTTCAATCCAAAATAGTGTACCAACTAAGAGCATCTCCAGCCATTACCCTTTATGTACCCTTTTTTAAATAAGGGTAAAAAACTCTTAAACCTTTTTCCAATACTAGATCCATACCCATACTAAATGAAGGAAATCCTTTTTTGAACCCAAATCAATGGAAACTCAAATCCTTATCATTTTTGTTAATGGTGAGATTACACCCTCCTTTACAGATCCAATGGTCATATTTACTTTCTTTTAAAATTGGGTTTGTCTTCATTTAAAAAAAAAATTCTCTTCCTTTAAATTTGGGTTTCTCCATTGGAGAGTTCTATACCAAGTCAAGTTTTTTACTCTTTTTTTTAACTCAAATTTGGGTAAGGGTTTGGATCTCCATTGGAGATGGTCTAAGCCTACCCCCCATCGCACCACGTGCCCATACCTACACCACATATCGAATTGATCTATGATCCAATTAACCTTCCTGAGAAGATTAGCATATTATTACCACATTTAATAGATGTCAAAGTTTTCCCTCTAAATTTCAAGACACATTTAGCTTTTTATTAGAGTCCCGCGGCAAGTTAATAGGAATCTCTAGGTAAAATAATTTACAAAATGGTATGTACTCAACTACCATTCATTGGCTTTCACTTTTTCAAACAACTTTTCATAGTAATGTCTTCCCTTTGTTCTCTTGACATCCTCCAATTTTGCCATTGGTGTCAAGACTAGCAACATCACAATTCATCATTGGAGAAGCTACTGGAGACACTATTTTTAACGACCCTCCAAGTAATGGATCCTTTTGGTAAAGACGGTTTTTAAACATTTATTCATTAGACTTCTTCTAAGGGGCATTTGGATGTCCCTTGGGAGTTGAATTGCCTCATGACAAGTTTCGCCCGAACAGAAAATCGGACTTAGGCCCATTCAATTCTATATGTATCAAAAATAACAATTTCAGTTTCTTTCTTTTTGTCATGGAGGGTGAGATGATTGTTGGTTTCAGCTGATTCTATATTTAGGTAATAGATTTCTAACAGAATGCCATGTGAAATGTGATAGGGCCATTTAATTTCTCTCCAACATCTGATAATTGCAATCCAAGTTAACCTCATGGAATCTCCTGACAGCACCCCATTCCAGAAATCAATTCATCGATCAATAAAATTGACAATACAAAGAGTCTAAACTGTTTAAATTGACCTTTGAAATTAGAATGAGGTAATGCCAGTCGAATCCATTCTACATGCAGTGACTTTCAAGATAACAATAACCCCCTCCCCAACAATCACACAATTTTGGCAGCCCATGCCTGATGTCCCATCCACCAGTTCATATCGGGGCTAGCTTTCAAAACTAAAATAGTATTAAAATACCATACAGTACAGCATATTCAAATAGAAAGAAGAAAATGAAAGCAATAAAAAATAAAATTGAAGAACAATAGCAAATAAATGAAATCCCATAAGCATGACGAAATTATCTTACCCGAACGTATTACCTATCCTTTCTTGCCTTCTTTGCTAGTGCCTTAAACTTTGAAGAATTCTCTACAAAGAATTTCTTTTTCTCCTCCATTCGCCTCTGAAGCACATCTCCGAGTGAACTGTTGGCGATTGCTTTCACCGCCGTGAAAGGAATCGCAGAGAATATTAAAACGCCAGCAAGCTTCAGAGAAAAAAAGATATTTAATTATTAGGCCACAAATGTTCATCTATATAACCAGAGAATGTTTAAGATTCTGCAGACCTCTTGCCATGAAGCTTTGCAACGTGAAAAAGACTTGACGTTGGTGATACAGGGATTCAGATAGAGATTCAGAGATTTTGGGTGGAGGAATTTAGAACAGAGCCTGTCAACGGGAAAGGATGGGAATAAACACGATGCCGCCAAAGTTGATGATGGGTGAACGAGCCGAGCCATTGCTGATGACTGATTGATAGTGGTCGGTGTGCTGTCTTTACGTCTTGTGTGCGTGGCTCAGTTCACTACAATAAGAATTTAACTGTTGAAATTAGTCCACAGCCACATACTAAACCATTGGCTTGTCCCTCGTCTCCTGGGCCTACAGTAAGCAGGCAAGCCCACCATCTAATGTAAAGACTAAAAAGAGGCAATGGGGTTGGATCACTATCCAGACTTGAATTTGGGTAATACCCGAAATCAAGTGTATGTGTATTTTCATGAATTGAGTTAAATAATATAATACGGTTTATATAGGCCTATTATATACTAGGAAAAGGGTACTACAAGTGCATTAGTGCCCTTTTATATCTTGACTAGAGAATGCCAGTGTTTAACCAAAAAATCGCCAACGTTTAATAGAAATTATTGTATCTTAGAATTAATTTTTCTCTATTCTTTTAAAAAATTCGATAAAATTTTCTCTAAAAACAAACCCAGGAAAATATGAACCTAATTTATATATGTCATAATCATAGCCCAAATCAACGATTTGCCAACCACCGCAACATAAATAGTGAAGTGCACAAATCCATGAATAATTAAGTCCATAACAAAAATCAGTGTGAAAAGTTTAACAAGGCTCAACCACATATAATTGTGTTTGAATTCAGTAAAAACAAAAGCACAGTTAACGAATGAAAGAATAACAAAGATTTAAAATCAGCATATGAATAAACTACAAAACATTTTAAAAATTGAAAAGCAATATTTTTTCTATTCATTCATCAATTCAAATGACTCTCTGTGTGGATTCATGAGTAGCTCAAATTGTAAAATTATTTGACGTTTGCAAATATGTTGAGTGGCAGTGCCCAAAGAAGTGTCCCACATTTACAGTCACAATGCACCCAATTGAAATACAAAATTAGTTGTCATAGGTTTTCCTCTCTATCTACTTTCATATTTACCTTTGACCCCCTTGAAACTCTACCGACCAAATACCTCCACTGAAACCATAATGTGGAAAACAACATTGATTCAACTTCGATAAACATTGTAAAAAAATATATGGAAATAATCAATAATTCAAACCACAGTCTAAGGTTGAGGAATCTTAACGCAATCCGTGAAATTGGCGGTGGCGTGGCTGAGTAAATCCGAGAGCGCCTGCAAAATTGGTGCAAAAAATACAAACTGCTCATTCTTCAAAAATTCGTTTTCATAAAGACTCAACAATTGGGGTATTATGATTTCATTTCGGCGTATCAGGGTTTGATTTTTTTTTTTTTTTGGTTTTGTTTGGGGGGAGGGGTCAAACAGAGTTTTTGGGTGGGTGGGTGGGTTGTGCGTCTGTGAGTGTTGTGCCTGTGGATGCGTGTGTGGGTGTTTGTGAGCATGTGTGTGCTGAAAGTGTTGTGCTGCGTATGGGAGAGTGCGTGTGTGTGTGTGTGTGCGCGCGCGCGCGCTATGTCGTGTTTGCTGTGGTGCAAAGAGTGTGTATCGTGGGTGTGGGTGTGTGACAGAGGCGTTTTTGGTGAGAGAACAGAGAGAGGGGGAGAGAGAGAGAGAGAGAGAGACCAACCTTCGAGAGGAGAGTCGCAGGGTTACCTGAGAGAAATGGGTGAGAGAGACGGGAAAAAGTTTCGGGAAGAGGAGGAGAGAAATGGGAAAAGATAGATGGGACGGGACGGGACGGGAGATGGGAGACGGAGGATGAGTGAGGTGCTGGTTTTGTCCCACCACAATTAATTCTTTTTTTTCGGGTGCACAAATAATTCAAATTTGATCCAACGGGACAAACACCAAACCGTATTTTGGATGCGTCATACAAAAAAAGATTAAATGATTTGGTTTTATTATAATTATTATTAATTTTATTTTTATATATTTAAAATCTAAAATTATCTCATAATCATAATATCACATATATTGGTCTATATTTTTGTCCCATTTTTTAATCGGTGTAGCGCAATTTCTTACAAAAATCAAGCTACTTTTATTTAGACAAATTACATTTTGACTCCTTTATTATGGACTTGATTTTACCACCATTGAATAATTGAATTTTTTTATATTATCTCTTCTACTAATTGAATTATTTCACATTACCCAAGTGCATATATCCGTTATTTTTTTAGATGAAAATTACCAAAGTAGTGGACTAAAGTGACAAAAATCACATAATTTGGGAATAAAATAAAATAAATGTCTTTCAAATTTGTGATCGACACTGATAATTGGGGCGATACAAAATTAATCACGGAGTTAAAGATGCAATGTGAAAAGCTTCATAGTTGATTGGACAACGTAAAAAAATCACAATTGAAGGAGTTCAAATATAATTTATCCTTTTTATTATATGGATCTTGTAAAGGAACGACCGATAAAAGCTCTAAATAACAATGAATTCGATCATAATTCTATTGCTTCTTCCAAGATCATTGTATTACGAATCACAATAGGTGTGCTAGTAATTATTTGTTTAAAAAAGAGAAATATTTGCAGGATACAGTCCTCTTATTTTTTTCTCATCAAGATCTAGAAAGTTATCGAAAAATAAAAGTATATACACAAATTTACACTGCAGATGATTAGTTTGAAACCTAGAAAAATATATGGTTGATTGCCAACGGAGCCTTTATCTGGCATGCATGAACTTCCACCCTCATTCAATGGAAAGTGGGAGAGTGAATATCAGAGAATCGATTAAGCCTTGCTACAAAACCTTGATCTCTTAGGTGGTTTATGAAGCTAGTTGGGTCAGCAAAGGACCACGCCCCCTTTTAATTAGCCCGATAAAAATCGAATGAACCAAATATAATGCAGTTTGACGTCGACAACCATTCTTCATGAGATTTAAAATCTATAATAATAAGATAGAGTTAATTTCAAAGTTCTCAAGTTGACATCAACCCTCCCAATTTAGAAAAGCAAAAAAAAATGGGTAGGATTTGATTGAAGTTTAACTATACGGTTCAGATCTTATCTAAACCCATCTAATTAAATCTAATGATTCACAATCCATCCCACCTAAATACATCTTCCCGCCCATTTTAACCACGCACGTGCCACCCATAACACAAACCAAAGCCAGCAAACCCTCCCCATCCCAGGTGCTCCTCTCTCTATCTCTCTCCCTCTCTCTCTCTTATACACAAAGTTCCTCTATCATGGCTAAACCAACACAAAAGATCTCATCTGCCGTCGCCCAAGTACACCCCCTCTCTCTGTCCCTCACATCTCTCTCACACACACACATAGTCGATCTAACCCACACAAACTAGAACACATCACGCGCACACACACACACACATCAGCACACATGCGCACACACATACCAAAACACATTGCACACACATATGCATCGCATACCATTGTGCACACACACACATACACACAACATCAAAATAACACAAATTGATTTGATAATTTTGGTTTTAATTTAGTGTTTATGTGGGTGTTTTTTCAAATAAGTTTGATAAGTTTTTTTATAACTTGAATGTTATAGTTTAGGTATTTTGAATGTTAAATTGGTTTAAATGTTATAATGTGGGTGTTTTGAATGTTAAATTGGTTTTGAATGTTATAGTTTGATTTTCAAGTTTTAATTTGGTGTTAATTTGGATGTTTTGAATATTATATTTTTTTCAAATAAGTTTTGTTATAGTTTGAATCTGAATGTCGTAGTTTAGGTGTTTTGAATGTTAAATTGGTTTGAATGGTATAGTTTGGGTGTTTTGAATGTTATGGTTTAGGTGTTAAATTGATTTGACTAATATAGTTTAGGTGTTTTTTCACAGGGTTTTGATAATAGGGTTTTTTTTTTAATGTCATAGTTAAAAGAAGTGTAATGTGTTATGGAATCATTATTAGGTCAAAAAATTCACTAGGTTCATCAGGTTCATTTTCAAAGGTTGTAGTTTGGTGGTAGAAAGTACTATTAAGAATTTGTATTGGAATGAGAGTGTAGGAAATTAAAGTATGAATTTTTTAGTTCGTATAAGGAGGCTTATGAGGATGTTTTTGCTTATTAGTTGATTGCAGCAATTTGTGGTTTAAAATCAAGATTTTGATGGAAAACGACAACATGGCCACTTTGTTTTTCCTTAAACAACCTTGCAATTTTGTGGGAACAAATTAGTGCTAATTGCATGCTTAATTCATTTGCTTCTAGATTATTTAACCTTGCAGTTAATGATGATGTACAAATCGGTATTATGCAAGATCAATAGTCAAGAATATAAATAGAGACAATCAATGAGCAATAACACATACAATTAATGATAAAGTAGTAGGTAAAGAGATAACACAAGAATTTATAGTGGTTTGGTCCAGGTGACCTACTCCACTCTCGTAACTGACAGCGGTGGCCTGAGTCTTTTATTAATGGTTAAAATCGCTGGAGAGAGTATTCTTTAATAGTATTGCAGTGCTTAGAGAGAGAAAGAGATAGTGTGTATAAGGGAAGGTGTAGAGGTTTCAGAGGTGTGCCCCTAATGTTGAGAGGCGCGTGCATTATATAGTTAGGGTAAGGCGGTAACGTGAGTGAGAAATCTTCCACAATTTTAGTAAGTACAATCTTAGTAGGATTAGATCTCCGTATCTCGATATTCTCTCGCTCGTGTCCCTATTCTATTGAAGGATGATCCTGAGCTGGATTGGGCTTGGTCTTGTCCTTGAACTTGAATCGGAGTAGGTTTGAGCTTGCATTGGAGTCAAGAGGACAAAGGAGGAAGGACTAGGAGGGTTTGGCCATGGGCGACGCCCCCTTGGGCGTTGGCCTTTGGTGTCTTGGCTCCACTTGACTCCTTGTTGATTTACGGCCTCATGACTTCTTGTTGATTTACGACCTCATAATTCTTTGTTGATTTATGTTCTCATGACTCCTTGTTGATTTACAGCAAGTCCAACTCCCTTTGGGCTCCCATGACTTGGAATCCTCGGTTGATCCAGCTCCAGTTGGATTTTTCTTGGGCCTTCTCGATTCATTTAGTTTGGGCTTGGCCTAATGAAATTCGGGCTCATCATTTGCCCCCATGCCCCGAGCTTCTGACTTTCTTCGCAAGGAAGGGGGTCGAGGGCATGTGCTTCGTTTCATCTGGGTAAGTCAGAATTTTCTTACTTCCCACGGTATCTTTTCATCAGGGACACGCTAAACATTTTGATATCGAATTTTTTTTTTTTGGCTTCCTTCCTTGGGCGCTGGCCCTTTGCCTTCACTTTTTTTTTCTTTGGCTTGCCGACTCCTTTCTTTCTCTTTTCTTTTTCTTTTCTTCTTTCTTCTTGGTCTTCCTAGGCGCCGCCCTCCTTGGCGTTTCCCCCTTGGCTTTCTTTTCTTTTTTTTTTCTTCCTTGACTTGCTAACTTCCTGTTTTCTCTTTTTTTTTTTTTTCTTCTTCTTGGCTTCCTGGTTGGGTGCCGCCTTTTGAGCTTCTTTTCTTTTTTTTTCCTTTTTCTTCTTGGTTTTCCTGGGCGCCACCTCTTGGCTTTTTTCTTTTCTTTTTTTTTTATTGGTTTGGGCTGGGCACCACCCCTTCTTCTGTCTCTTTTTTTTTTGGTCTAGGCTAGGCGCTGCCCCTTCTTCTTTCTCTTCTTTTTTTTTCTTGGTCTGGGTGCCGCCCCTTCATTCCTTCTCTTTTTTTTTCTTTGGCTTCCTTGGGCGCTGACTTACTCCTTTTTTTTTCTTGGGTGCTAGCCTGTTTTTTTTTTTTTAGCATCTTTGTTTTTAAATAGAGGGCTACTACTTCATTGAGCTTCTCCAAGAAGCTAACTTACCAAGCTTCCTCAAGAAGCTTTGTCAAGGCTTTCTCAAGAAGTCATCCCTTCCTATTTAAAGACTCCCAAGGCTACTATTCATCTCATTCTCCATTTCTCCCTCTTTGGTTTTCTCTCTTTACTACCCAAATCAAAGGTCATGGATACGAGGGGTTCAAAGAGTCATAACGGAGAGGAGGCAAGAGGAGGTGGCGCCCAAGGGGTTTCCATGGGCGACGCTGGGCTCACGAGATCAAGTGGAGCAGGTTTGGGCGACGCCCATTGCGTGGCTACAACAGCAGGCGGTCTTTGTGAGGTCCCAGCAAGAGGTGAGAGACACTTCGGAATTCTTGGCTTGAGACTGGGTACGAGCAAGGAGTCTTCACTTAACATTTTTAGTACATCAGGATGGACTCCAAGTGCATGTGAGCATCAAAGTGGATCTGTGGAAGGTACCAGGGGCGCCTTTCATGGGCTTGGTGGCGCCTCAGGCACCTCAGGTGGTGCCCATGGTGCACTGGATGGCCCCCCAGGCTCCCCAGGAGGCACTCCAGATGCATTGCAGTCCCCTCATCGTGAGCCCAGGAAGCGGTTGATCAATGACTTGGACGATACGAGGTCTCGAGGAATGTCTCCCAATATTTTTTTTACTCTTCCATTGATGTAGTTATTTCTTTAGCAATGGTCTGAACTCGTTTTTTGTGGGTATTCACTCAGGTGAGAGGGGAAACTGTTGGGGCCCCGATGGAGGTCCAGGTGTTGGGGGAGGAGATGGTTCCAAGGTAGCTTCTATACTTAGCTTATTTGACCGTGATGATGATATTGTTGCCATAGTGTTTTCATACCGTATTCCACCCTACGTGACTTATCGTCGTGCTAAGGCTACATGCTATGACTCTTTGGATGAGATCATCGTTTACAAGGGC